CTGCTGCTGCCTGCTTAAGGACTGGGCACAGCACAGCATGCCACACAGGAGGGCACCAGAGGCTTCACCGAGTGAGCAGAGCACATAACTACTACACAGGTCAGGTTCAGGACAACCTGATGTCAAAAGTGAAGCTGCTGTAGCAAAGCAGCTCTTCATGCAACGTGTTAGCCACCCTGTGTTGCTCCCTTGCTAAACTACAGCACTGCTCTGTCACTGCACACTTTGTTAGCAGCTCCTGCCAAAGTCAGTAACATTTTCACTGACCTCAGTGGCACAGAATCAAACTCTAAATGTAGAAGCAGTGGGGTCAAAAGAACACCAAACAATCCATCACCAGGCCATGGGATCAAATAACCGGTGCTCTCCTTCAGGCTTTTCCACTAATTAACTACATGACTGGAAACAATGGGAGTTATATATCCAAACCCCCTTGCAACACCTTGGTATCTTGCCAAAACTTGGGATGGAAGCAGATCTAATGGCTGAGGGGGCTAACTTCACATAGGCAAGCATGAGAGGAACCTAAACCAGTTAGTATTCACCTTCTACAGCAGCCATCGTTCCAGTACCAAAATGCACTGACACTGATAGGGTTTCATGCTGTTAGGAGAAGTCTTGAAGAGGTGAGCTACTGTTTTGCAAGTCAAGCAAACATGAAAATGTAGGTCTTAAGAGGTATCAGTGCCTCAGCTTCTGTGTCTGTGGAGAAGAAATGGTAGTAGTAGTTAAAATTATGCAATTTGGGATTAAAAATATTAAAGAGTATGAGATACTGCATGAACATGGAATCACAGGGTGGTTTGGGTTGGGAAGGACTTTAAAGATCACCTAGTTCCAATCCCCTGCTACGGGCAGGGACACCTTCCACCAGAGCAGGCTGCTCCAAGCCCCTGTGTCCAACCTGGCATGTTTGTGATACATGTAAAAAAGCACTAAATACAATTAAAACCAGCATTTGCCATTTACCAGTGCCTATTTTCACCTGATCTGTAGCGTGACAGCAGTGCCCAGGCAGATCTGGGGTTGCCACAGAGAGGAAGAGAGGGCTGAAGCTGCTTCATTACCCGAGGATGACAGTAACACACCACTCGATCTGGCGGCTGTGGCATTCCACCTCCCTCTGCTCAGCAGGCTCTATCGCTGCCCTGGGCAAAGCAGCTTCCTTAGGAAGCAGGACTCCATCCTGCAAAACACTGTCTGGACAAACAGCTCCAGCATAGAAACACAGGGTAAATCAGGTTGGAAGGGACCTCAGGAGGTCATCCATTCACGTTTACAAATAATATGTATGTCTTGTAGTTTGAGTTGTTTTTCAAAGAGGCAACACCACCAGGACTTAAGTTCCCCACAAGGGAGTAACATCTCATTATGTCAAGGGAGGGCTACAGGCACCAGTGCAATTACCCAGACTTACATCAGAGGAAGATGGGGCCAATTACTCCACTTGCCAAAGTACGGATGTGCTTAACACAATGTTCCAGCACAAGTTCAAGGTTATCCCCTGTGTTTTCAAACCCAGAAGCAAAGCAAAGACGAGCCCTGCCAGCAGAGTGAAGTTTGTCTCCCTTCTCCCCCTGGAGACCTACAACGTGTGGAGGTAGATGCCAAGTGCTGCTGCGTGGCTCCTGGCACAGCCCAGGGGAAGCTCCCGTGGGACTGAGGTTCAGCCAACAGCTGTGAACATGAATTCTGTAGGAAATACATTCATTTTGAAAGCGAAATTACTGGTTCCGTCATTTTAGTGCAACTTTCCATCGAAACTGTTACCAAATGCTCATTCCCAAAGGAGAAAACTGCGTAGGAAGACTTAAGGAAGCATTTCGAGCTGACCACCTACCCAAAACTCAATTAAAGAAATTAAGAGAAGGAGAATACAGCTCAGAACGGGGGAAAGAGGCTATTTCGTGTTTAAGCAGTTTCTGAGCACACAAACCCCCCCCGCGCAGCCCCA